GTTGCATGAGCAGAAATATCTCGATGATCTCTTCTGTTACCAAGGTCACGTATAAAGCGTGGAATCTGTTAACAGTGCACTTCGGGTGGGGTTTTTTTATTGCTTCTATTAAATTATTGATACGAGCATTTAATTTTATAATTTTTTCTTCTTGGTTCATGAATATCATGTGAAAACAGCAAGGCACGTACTGCTGGTTGCTGTTTTCACTTTCTGCACTCTTGTTTGTGTTGTTTTTTAATATTTTTTTTTTAAACAATAGCTTACCTCCAAAACAGATTAAACACCACACACTTTGCTTTGAGTAATTGAAACTTCTAACTCGTGTTTTTCTCTTCCAGCTTGTACTTCCAGAGTACCTCATCCATGCATTCTTCTGTGTTATGTTTCTCTGTGCAGCAGAGTGGCTTACGCTGGGTCTCAATATGCCTTTGTTGGCTTATCATATTTGGAGGTAATATTGACGAGTCTGGTATCTCTGTACTCACATTGTTACTCATTCTCCCGTTGCGGTGCTTCCTGTTAAGTGTTCTCTGTCTTTGGCAAATGAAGATGCTTTCTGATACGACATTGAGAAAGTTTATGTCGTGGCTATAAAATAAGAACCATCACTTTGCTTTCTCTGTCGCTTTTATCTGTTATTCTCTTGCGCGATGCAAGAATCGAGTGGTGGGAGTTGCACGTGTGCGTGTTAAAGGTGGCCAACATGTCAGAGGTGTACTAATGCGGCAGATTCACGGTGTGGGTTGCCAGTAGAAGTGGCAATCCCGCTTTCCTCCTACCACTAAGATGCAGGCACCACCTCTCCTTGTGCCGGTGTTAGTCCTGTGCAGGGAGCTGCGGGAGGGAGCTGGTCTGGTTGAAACGTAACCCAGCCAAACAGCTTTCCCTGCGTGGCTGCATCTGTGCTAGTCCTGGCCTGAGGAGGAGTCGGAGGGGTGGAGGTAGGACTGTTCCTTTTGCCGCTAGCCTGCGTTAAACTACAATTTCAGGATCGTTTTATGTTGACCCATATGAGTATTCCTCCAGCGTGGCCGCTGGCGTGTGTTGCATTAATGAGTAGAGGCTTTAGGTCACATAGGGTTATACGTTGGTCTCTTCCCCAGCTTTTCCAACCCTTTCCTAAAGAATCCCATTTTTTACTTATTTATCAAGCTTGCCCTATTTCCGTTTGGTGTGCCAGAGTTCAGCACAGTTTAGACTGAGGTACGCTGTCGCGGCACCGCCTGTGAAAGCTCTTCCGTAGGCACGTTTAGTTCGGAGCTTTGTATTGCTCTTGCAGTTCGCCAGCTCCTGCATGGAGCTGATGGACTTTGCTGTGAGGGGTGCGATTCCTTGTCTTGGTTCTGGTATCGCTTGGTGGGTGGTGGGCAGGAACCAACATTTCCCGTCGCCGTCACCACAAAACTAACTGTGCATCACTTTCAGGTACATGAGTAGACCTGTGATGAGTGGCCCTGGTCTGTATGATCCTACAACCATCATGAATGCAGATATTTTAGCCTATTGCCAGAAAGAAGGATGGTGCAAATTAGCATTCTACCTTCTATCATTTTTTTACTACCTATACGGGTAAGTTGTGTGGTTTTTTGGTTTCCCCCCACCCCTTCCTCTCTCTCCCATCTAATCTTCAGTCTGAATTTTTTTTTTTTGATCAGGCTCAGTGCACAAGAGAAACTTTGTATGTAGGAATATATATAGTGCCAACTTTCCTGAAAAAGAATCCGCAGTCACCATTTATTCTGTTTTAAAACACAAGTCTTAATTTGGTCGGAATTACTAATTTGAGTCTGTATACCACGACTGGAGACTTGAAAGCTCCAAGCTTTTCTTCTTTTAAGCATAATATAATAAACAGCCCCCCCCAGTATTTTCATTAAGAAGCGGTAACAGTAATATTTTTAGTGTAAATAGGTATTTTGATGTAAATGTGATTTTTGTTGAAGTCAAAGGTAGAGGAGTCATTCCAAGAGTGAAAAGGGGTGGGATGCACAAAAAGCCAGTGCCGCCGCTGGGTTCCTCCTCCCGGTTCTTCCTTCAAGCCAAAAGCCAGCTTGCTGCTTGGTGCTGTTCTGGGTGGTGTGATGCGGGAACCGGCGTGCCGTCCTCCTTCCCCTCGGCACGCTGCGCTTCCTGCAGCACAGCTGGAATAGTTTAGGCTTTTGACACGCAGGCATCGCATTCATACGGGGCTCCCTGTTACAATGTCACTTGAGGTAGTGACAACTGGTTGTTGCATTGGTTCATGTTGTGCTTTATAATCCCCTTCCCGATGTGTTTGTGACTAAAATCTTCAGTCTCAATCCACGTACCTGGCACAGATTTGTTCCTTAGAATGCATGACTGTATAATAAAATGTATAACTAATCCAAATGGTGCATCTTAATATTTTTATTTTGTTTTCCAGCATGATTTATGTTCTGGTGAGCTCTTAAGAACACATTCGGCAAGCTTTGTTCCAGTTAAGTGCATGCAAAAGCCACAAAACATGGATTCTTTCCAACGAGAACCTCTTACCAAGATTATGTATGGAATCTGATGATCATGTTTGCGTTAGAAAACAATGACTCCCCTCTTTTTAAAATATTTCCACATTTTATACTTGTGGAAAGACTGTTTTCTTATATTTTACTGGGACGCTGAAATTAAAGAATTACAGGTAAATTAATATAAAGATTACCGGGGTTTGAAAAGTTTTGACTTTGCACTCCATAAGGAACAGCCATAATCTTCCAGTAGGTATTCGTTACTGACTAGCCTTAGGACACTAGGGATTTGCTTTAGGCTGGGCTTCGTAGTGGCTCACTTGGACTTGCGTATCCCACTCCAACTGCAGATCGGCTGTAGCTGCTTGGGAAGGACTGGAGGTGCTGTGGGTTTTACCTGTAGGCGACGCCGGTCTTAAGAGATGAATTGATGGGCACAATTGCAAAAATAGAAGTTCTATTTTGGTTTACTTTGGTTTTTTTTTTTCTATCTGGTTAATCTTTCCCTGTATATGCACAGTTCAGAGACTTCTGTATTTTTACCGAAAGTTAGCCTTGCTTTAATCTCAAGCATATGTCATTGTGATAGAAGTTGAATTGTCCACAAAGGAGTGAATTTAAATGATGACTTTTTTTTTAATGTCTGTGCTGTCTTATTAACAAATGGACAAACCTATGACACTTACCAAGTCCAATGATGAAAATACTCTTGAGTTTAAGAGTAATACTACAGACCTTTTCAAAGCAGAAAGTGAGATTGTGAAACTGCCCTGCTGTTCCTTAGTGCAATAAATAATTAAAAAAATCTCAAATGCAGAAACACTTATTTTTACCTGGTGCCTTGTTTTGTTTTTAAATTGAACAGACACTTCCTGTATTCATCTGTTTGTTTTATGATGGATAATTGCATTACCTTTTAAAAACAGAACACTGAATGAAGTTATGTCTGGAAAAGGGAAGCTCCGATTTCCTGGTTTTTTTTTTCATGGGTCTGCAGATAAATGGTAGATGGGGCAGGCAGAAGATGTTTCTGATAAAATGATAATACTGCAATGTAAATTGTTACTGCAACAGCTGCTTAATTTAGGAGTAATAATTAGGACTCTTTCATCTACCTGTGCTGGAGAATAATGAATAGTTTCCCAGTTCTAGTAAAACGTTTTTGTATAAACTGTGTATTTGTTTGCTTTGGGTCTCTCGGGCGTTAGACGCAATGGAAGCCGTGCGGATGGCTGCACTGGGTTCCACCAGAAATCCAGATACTCCAGTGTTGGTGTGTTGGGCAGTGGCAACGATTGAGGAAAAAAGGAAGGGCAGGTATTGAATAGCTCTGCCTGAATAGTGAGAGAATGTATTTGGAAACCTACCTGTTACAGATGTCCTGAGCCTAGAGGTTTGGCATCTCAAACAGCCCTTGAATAGCTTTTCTTCCATTAACTCGGTTGCTTTTCGAGCACGTTTATAGCCTAGCAGGAAAGATACCCTGAGACAGCGAGTTCTGCAGTGGAATTACTCAGTATGTAAAAAATACTCGTTTAAAAGTTCTGCCAAACTTCATTTGGTGCCCCTAAGCTCATATTTTTTTTAAGACATATTGAAAATTTCCCCCTTTCCACCTTATTTATGCTGGGTATGATTGAATGGACCTTCATCATGTCATCTGTCAAAGCAGAGAACTCTGTTTAATCTCTTCTTGATTGGAAGTCCTTCCGTAGCTTTGTAATTATCCTTTCTCCTCCGCAAATTTTCGTTTTCTAAGCTGGAGGAGACCAGAACTATTGTCATCACAGAAGATTTGGGTGCCCAGGGGATTTAGAGTGGCAGTCTCCTGCTCTCTGCCTCCGAATTCTTCTCTTCTTTTTATAATATACTGGGGGTATGAGATTCAGGCTGTGATAACTTCAAATTCTCTTTCCTGAGTAATAAATAGATACCTGACAGCTTATTACTAGGTATATGGAATTGTTTTTCTCGCATGTGTTTCTTCTTTCCGTTTATTGACCCTTAATTTCACATGCCATCATTGCTCAAGCATTCAGCTTTACAAAATTTACTTTTTTTTTTCCTGATTGTCCCAAAACATTGGCAGCAGTTGCAGGCTTTATCTCACAGCCCTTGTTTTTTGTGCAAAGGCCCGGATTCCAACCCACAAACCTCCGGAGCTCTGCAAGGAGCCCCTCCTCACCGAAAACTCTTTATTCCTATTCTGCAATCCCTTTTGATCAGTTGTTAGTTGACGAGAGGATTTTCTTCCTTATGCAATAATAATTTTGAGGTTTTAGCAAATTAATTTTTGAAAGGCTTGTGGGAAATTCAGGAATATTGTTCCTGTTGGATCACTTCTGTTTCCCTGCTCCTTAGCTCCTTCAGAGACTGCTGTAAGATACGACTTCAGCCTGCATAAGCAAAACTAATTAACCCTTTTGTATGTTTGGATATTTATTAATTTGTTACGGAAATGAGACTTACTGGTTCATTGCCCCTAGCTCTCCTTGGCCTTCTAAACAAATCTCTCATTCCCTTGGCACTTGGGCTGACTTAAGCCAAGTTACATACCAGAATAAAGAGTGCAGGATTTACTGAGCCCAGCTGACGGCTTCTTCTGAAACCCCCTCCAGCTGTGGAGGCTTTACCCAGGAATATTTAGCAACACTTGCACTGTCCTGTGGATGACAGGCTTTACACATGTAATCTCAAAGTGCATGTGAGCATTCCTGAACAGAGGAATCTGGAGGTGAAAACAGCGCAGTAGCTTGCCAGTGCAGTTCTGCCGGTGAACCGGAATTCACTGCTAACTCCAGGAGCAAAATGCTCATTTGGAGCCTGTCCTGCCCACTGCGGTTAAATACACGAGAACTGAAAAATTTAAAGACCTCTGAAAGGTGATTACTTAAACTGTCAAAATGTTGCAGAGAAAGGCCAGAAGTGCAACTCAGAAGTTAAAAAGTCCTATGAGAACCCAGCGTGTTGAAGTGTGATGACTGCCCGCTTCAGAGAATGCTGTTTAGAAACTAGTTTCAGCACTTTTGTTTTAAAAAAAAAAAAAAAAGGTTAGTGTCTACCAGCGCCCACCCAGCTGCTAGGTGGTGTGAAGGTTGTCGTCTGTAGTCGGCGACGTGAGCCTCACATCTGAGTTTTACCAGAGTAGTCCCTGTGAAAGCGACAGATGCATGTGGAGAGCACGTATGATGCCTGGCTAGAGTACCAGTCATTCTGTATTCAAAACATGGACCTGATAGTAACTGATTTTTTGGAGTTCCAGGAGGCAAGAGATTATGGAGAAAATAAAGAACATTTCTCTCCCTGTCAGCAAGTTTCCTGCTAAGCCATCTGCTACATACTTAATCCTGGCAACTGATGGTTTCTAGATATTAAGCAGAGAAAAAGGGACAGACAGATGCTTTTTTTTTTTGTATTTCTGTTTGAGTGTTGGGGAGTAGTGTCAGGGAAGGAACAATGCACATTTTGAGTAAAGTATTTTCTGTAAATGATCCTGTGCTGTGGAAACTGGAAGTTCCTGTTGCCTGCCTTAGGGGTGGAGAAGGGAATGGCAGTTAAAGCCAACTAAATATCATCTGTAGAAATCACCTTTAAACATGCGTTCAAGTGTCTGGGTTCGAACAACACGTTAAGAGAAGGCTATACATTTTAAAGTTAGCAAAGCAGCCAGTTCTGCTTCAACTCAAATCCACCGGTGCTGCGGTAGAGCCTCATGTCGCAACTTCTGACTGGAAGTTACTGAAACTTTATCAAAATACCCCATGAACATCTGTGTCCCTGTAGGCAATAGGGAAGCGTAGGCTGGAGCTTTGGGGAGCGCAGGAAGGTGACCCTCGGAGCAGTGCACCGGCACTGGTGGTGCTGGACAGGGAACCAGCTGGTTTCTTGAAGCGCTCGGGGAAGAAAGCACAGAATTAACTGCAAGGGAACAGGAGATGGCGGCAGGGCAGGAGGACAGCCAGGATGCTGATGCTCAGCGGAGAGCAACCACACAGCCACTTCAGCCCAGAGGCAACAGTTCCTCGACTCCGCTGGCTGGTCTAACAGCGAAAGGCACGGCGTGGGCGACGCAGGCTTTCTTCCCGGAGCCAAAACTTACTTCACAGGGCATCAGAGGATACCTGCGTGCTGAAGCAGATGATCATCGCTTCCTCGGAACAGGACAGAGCTAGTTTAAATGTTTTCTTCAGGAGTCTGTTCGCCTTCTCTGGTCTTCATGTGCGGATATAGTTAAACAGGAGGGATGTGGACTGTTACAGGCATCTTTCTGTGAGATTCTCTCCAGCCCGCAGCTGACTGTTTATTTACTTTCTCTAGCGTTAGCGTGCAGAAGGGCTGTGCCAGAAACTCACCCACGCAGCTACAGCGTACTGCCTATTCCTACCACATTCATACAAAAACCCCACCCAGCTTGGTTTGTCACAGATCTTCAGTATCAGACCTCCTTCTGTTGGAATGCGGGCTCTCGTTCCTAAATATCACTGAACACATGGAGAGCGGAACCCTGACATTTTAGAATGAGTTCTTACTAGTTCGTAAGGGGCAAGCGCTCCAGCAGGAAAATTTTCATTGGCTTTCCTTTGGTTTAAAGCTAGAGCTGAGGGGTTTTATTTAAACTGCTCCAGTGATGTAATTTTTACATAGCTACGTTATCGCAGCACAACTCTCTTACAGAGGCAGTAGAGAAGGAGTTATCCCTCATCTCTCCCCCATTTCCTTCCCCTACACACTGGAGGAGAAGCCAGCCTCTCGGCACTTAGCTGTGAGGAGCTACAGCCTATTCTGCTTCCTCGCAGATCCTGCCTTCACATCCAATTGCTTGTCCCAATTCTCACGCTACGTAGAACAGAGACGAAGTCAAAATGAAATTCGGGCACTGCTTTGACAGCCTGGCCTCCTCTCCACTTGGTAAGTACGCAGCCCGTAGAATGTCAATGTGAAAACATCCGCACCCCGGTTCAATGGCAGCGGAGGCGTACACTGTCAGTACCGAGCGATGCTAAACGTGAGGTAGACATTGTGTCAGAGTCGTCATGATATTGAAACCAAGCTCATTAGGCATGCAGGCCACCAGCAGAACAGTAATGAACACAAATACACTTCCATGTATTTTTAAAGCTGTGAGTATTAAAGACTGCCAAAGAGAGGAAGATGCCGTGTGTCCTGTAGGATTTGCTTCCCCCACCCCAACATTTTACACATGGATTTGGAAGCGAGCAGCTGGGTCACGTAGGCAGTAGCAATGAGAAACTAAAGGTTAGGAGTGAGATGTCTTGTCCAGGTGTCTGCCGCAGCCACGTAGATGCCAAGGTACACCACGCCAGCATTCGTTATCGCGATACCGATCTTAATATTGTGGCCTTTGTTGCCAGATGTGCAGCTAGGTTCTCTCGAAAGTCATGGAGGTAATTGTATTGCTGAAAAAGCACAACCGGATTTGTAATGAGCGCTCTGTACTTTCAGAAGAGGCACTACCCATCTTAAAAAGCTGTGCTATACCCCAGGATGAAAACTGCACCCTCTAGGCCATTTATTTGTTCTTGTGCTTACTCCAAATTCTCTGGAATTTTTCACCATCAGACACAGATTATATGGATCTTGGCTTGGATCCTGTGGTTCCTCATAAAGGGCACATGTGAGCTCAAGGTAATGCAAAATATGGTCCTCACAGGTGGGAGTTTCATGTCAGAATTCAAAGCTGCTTTATTTGGGTCACTGAGAGTATTACTCTTTCCATAATGAGTCCATGAGGCAGAACACAGCCTTTAGCTAGTACGATGATGTACAACAGTTTGTAGGAAGAGTTCTTAGGTCAACTCATACATCGTGTATAGTATTAATATGCAAGTGTTCAAAATGAGATAAAAATGTTATTCAGCAGAGGCTAAAGGACAGATCATCCACCCCAAGCAGCTGTGTGAACTTCTAATTACAACATTTGTTCATTTGTTCCCCTGCCTCTTCAACCAGGGATGCAAGCTGCTCCACACTGCCCCCTTGGTTTGTGGAAAACTGGTTTTCAACAAGTAGCTTAAAACAAGATTTGCCTTCCAGAGAGGCTTAGAGCTAAGAAAGAGACAGCTTTTAGGCAACTCTTTCTCCCCAGAAACTACTGTCTTGTAAACTTTTTAAATGTCAGCTCCTCTTTCCTGTACATAGAACTGTTTTAAGAGCATAACATCTAGGACTCGTATCAACAGAAATATGTACACAGAGTAGGTAAAAATCCCAGCAAAAGAAGAAAAACCCATTATGTTCAGCGACTTAGGCTTCCCTCCCTCCCTGTAGGTTTTAACAGTAGTGCTAGCGATACTTCTTAAAAGAAGCCTGCCAGCGTATCGATGCGATAGCTACAGAAGGTGAACGCGGCTAGCTGGGTTAGGAAGATGGAGCAAAACCAAGGCAGAAAAATCAAGCAGACGTCCAAGTTGTGAGGAGAATGCGAGCAACAGAAAAAGGGACAAGAGTTTAGTCAGCGATGAGCAGGGATAAGGAGGAGAAAGCAACAAGTTACTAATGATGGTGAAGAGCAGACAGGGAGAACAGCTACTGAATTCGGTAGAGGCACAAGAAGACAGAATTGGCGGGAAAGCAGAAAGCTCGAAGCAGCTCAAACCCAAGAGAGCCGCAGGGGCACCAGCTGTGGAGCATCTCAGAAAGACAGAGGGATCCCTTTGCGAAGCAAAGGAGAGGACTGTGCCAGCTCTCTGCTCGTTCCGACGCGCATATTACCTGTTGTAGCCTCATTACCTTGATCGTCTGTATCGCCCCAGATCCTCTCAAGTTTCTGAGGCTGTCTATTGCTTGCTGAGGTGACAGCGAATCCGAAAGCTGAAGCAGGAGACATGCAGCTACTGTAAGGGAAAGGTACGTATGCTCCTGAGCACCTCTTGCTGTAGGCAGTACCACTTTCACACAGTAATAGGTTTGTTCCATGAAAACCACTCTAGCAAAACTCAACCTCTACAACTACCTGAAAGGAGGTTGCAGCGAAGTGGGTCTCAGTCTTTTTTCCCAAAGTAACAAGCGATAGGACGAGAGGAAACGGCCTCAAGTTGTGCCAGGGGAGTTTAGATTGGATATTAGGAAAAGTTTCTTCACCGAAAGGGTTTATCAAGCATTGCAACAGGCTGCCCAGGGAAGTGGTTGAGTCCCCATCCCTGGAGGTATTTAAAAGACGTGTAGATGTGGTGCTTAGGGACATGGTTTAGTGGTGGACTTGGCAGTGTTAGGTCAACGGTTGGATTCGATGATCTTAAAGGTCTTTTCCAACCTAAACCATTCTGTGATCCTGTTCTATGATTCTATAATAGGGTCACAGATCTGTTGGATCTTTTAATGAATAGAACACTATTTGTTAGCACTGGCCCCATCTTCCTGCTGCTCCTGCCCAAGCCTGCAGGCTTTGGAAACAGGTGAAAACCCTCCCGCTTCCCCCCCTGCCTTTCCAGCAGCATTCGGAAGGCAAATTCTGAAGTCTTTCCAAGAACCAGTCCCAGCACACCCAGTTAATTCCCCTTTGTGTCTTCTGACTGCATTTGCTTTTTTGGCAGCATCACCACCCCTTCCTTCTTGGGCACACACAGTAACTAGTGCCCCTGCATGCTTTAGGGAGAGCACTAGGCTGAAGAAAGATGCCGAGGAATAGGTTCATCGCCTTTTCTTGAGGAGATGTTCCAGGAAGAGGGGAAAGTGCAATCCCATCAGTCAGAGGGGACTAAAATTTGCAGTGAAACCAGAGAAAGAGTCAGAAGGTAAGAGAGAACTTTCTATCAGCCTCACTAAAAGGCTGACCCTGCCTGACCCTCCATCCCCTCACCTACGTACTCAGAGCTATACCATGACATACTTATGTCACTCACCACAGTTTCTACACAGGCAGCTAATGTACTACCATTTGACAACACCTTTCCCAAAGAAACAGGCTCAAAAACATTAACTAGCCTGCTACCTGCAGTGGCAGTTTGCGCTGTAACCACAGTTAAGCTTCAAGCAGAATTTGGCTCCTTTAGACAGTGCTGCCTCACGGGAATGGGTTTGTAAGATGGGTTAGTCAGTCAGGCGTTGAGAGGGGGAAGACAACTGCTTACCGAGACATGAGCGTCCAAGGCCACCGTAGCAGCTGAAAGAGAAGAAAATGTTTGGTTGTAACAAGCTGTAGTACGCTGCAACACCTGCAGCCCCGTGATACGTAAACGTACGGACACAATTCTTGCCTTAATATAATCAAGAAGAGCAGTGGTACAAGAAAGTTAGAATTTCTATAGAAATACCTACAGGGCTACCTCCCATTTATTCTTCAGACCTTCCTTAAGTAGGGTCTTCCTAGAGAAACTGCAATTTTAAAGTTCCCCTTTGTTCATGGTAATAGTCCCAAAGGCACAGGAGGACAGAAAATGGCACGAAGATGGACAATCTCCATTTTGTTTAAATCCTGCTCCAGATTAAGGCTTTGGTGACAGTTGTGAGCTAATGATAGTAGAAGGCTCTGCGTCAGCAGGAAGCCCAAGGACTCAGTGGATACCTGTGGAGGGAGCTGTCAGCAGGGAACACGGAACTTGGAAAGCTCTTCCTCTCTACCGTGAGCTCAGCTACGAATGTCTGAAGAAATCAATTTAAACCAGTTTCATGCAATTTAAGAGTGAATTTTGCACTGCTGGAACCCACTGAGTCCCTGATAAACAGCCCCGGGGTGTGTTATCCTCTGACAACAGCTGCTTTAGCTTACAATTCATATTGCATACCTGACATCCTACCAGGCTAGCAGCAAGGAGTCATACGGTGCCATTCAACACACACTCAGAAGCGCTTGCTGGACAGAGCAAGGGAAAATGGGAGATTCAAATCTTACAAAGGACAATTTAGCTCCAAAAGGGTGCATGAGGAGAAACAAGCAGCTTTTCACAGCTTGAACTAATGCCAAAGAATGCAATTGTCATTTGACAGGATTCTGTTTCAGCTGGTCACGCATCTAGTGAGAAGCTGGTATCTTTTACAGGAATGTGGGGTGAAAGGGAGGCAACCAGAACCTACTGTATGATTGTTTTCCTGTTATTTTCCAGGCAGCTTCTGAGCTCTTCCAGAATTTTGCAGCACTTGGCAATGTCAGGAGCATCCCCATCAGGAATAGGATAGTGGTGCACGCAGATCCCATGCTGTTGGTAGGTGTCTATAAGGTTTGGTACTCGGTATTTTAAGAGCTCTCCTCTGGTACAAAGCACAAATACATCCTGGGTCCCATAGTTCTTTAGTTCTTCTGCCAACAGATTAAAACACTTGCAAATAAACAAAAGCTCATCAAGCTTAAGGAGAAACAGATAAGCTACTTGGTACTGATTCTCTTGTTTAATCTTTGAGGTTAAGGCAATAGGAGCTAGCAATTTTGCTTTGAGCAGCATTTACTTCTGCTGAGTCTCTCCCACGTTTGCCTTCAGGTAACCCACGAGAGGAATTGTCTCAGTTCAGAGCGAGTCTCGAGACAAGCCTCACTGGAAAGCACGTCAGCACTCCGAACAGTCTGTTAACTGCTGCCAGCTTACGCATGCATCTGTCCCATCTCCAGCTGTGACTATGTCCGAACACCGTGGGTTTTTGCTATTCGCCTCTGCTCTACCACTGTTTACAAAAGCATACTAGGCACAAATCTTTACACAATTTCATATTTTCTATCCCAATCTCACTTTTCTCTGGGAAAAGAAGACTACAAGTTTGTAATTCTTCTGGGTCCTAGCTGTTTTGAAGATGCCTTCTCCTGCACGGGACTTAGCAGAGCTCATAGTTACTGTGAAAGACGCACAGATGCCTGTACAGCTCCAGCCTGGAAAAACCCTGACTACTTACTCAATATTTGGTAGAGAAGCCACAGAGAAAATGGCACTGCACACTTGAAAGTGGTATCTAGTACTCATAATGGTGACTGTGCTAAGATATTTGCTGCATCTCCAAGCACAGCGTTACCAAAGCTCAGATAGACATCACTGTCAGACATCCCCCAGCAAGACTTTGTAAAGAACTGCCCTGCATTCTAACATCATGGCACGTTAGACAGACAGCTACAGCATCCATTCTAGAAGTACAAATAAAACACCACCACCTCTCAAAGTCAAGCTGTGTTTTAGATACCTGGTGTCTGAATCCTTATGCCCAAATTAGATAAACAGCAACTCCAGCAGTTTCCAGACTAAGACAAGGTAAACCTCTAGCCCTTTAGTAACTTAGGCTTTCAGTTTATGTGCACGTTGTTCTTGCCCGTTACGTAGAAGCGAGAGGCCCTTATAGACTGGCCAGAAGACTCACCTATATCTTTCTGAAGATTTCTTCTGACATCCTTAAACCTGCAACCTAAACCAAATTATGAACAACAGTTACTGCTCCAGGTAAGTGGCATTTATGGAATGGCTGCTACAGCTGCAAAACAGAGCACAGACAACCTCCCACCAAAACCAAAGCAAACAACAAAGCCACATCCTAAATAAAACACAGTTCTTATTTTTGCAAAGAGATCACCAGCGTAGAAGACCGTTTAAACATAATTTATCTGCTTAATACTGTAATGTAATAGGATTAAAAAAAAACCTGCCCAAGTTTTTAAGCTGCTGTGCATTTTCCAGGTGAGAACTTTTGGATATTATAGAATCAGGGTACAGCTTAAAAAGAAAAAAAACAACACAAAAAAACCCCACAAAACACAAAATAAAAAGTACCAACAAATAAAAGGGCTGGATAGAGATCATTTAAGAGTTGTGTGGTTGACTGGTAGGAAAGTAAGTTCCCTGTTCTGTAATACTCAGCACAAATCACATTAAAAGTCCTCCTTACTATTCAATCTTCAGCATATCACCACTTCCATTTTTGCCTCAGATCATGCTACCAAGGCATTTTTGCCCTACAGAATACTGCACTGCAATATTCACAGCTATTGTTTGGTTTGTGAGGTGTAATTGCTCAAAATATTTGCACCGTGTCCTCCCTCTGTCTCCCCTCCTTCACGCAGCCCCATAAGCACACAATCTTTATGCCTGTCCTGACAACAGTCAGGACTGTGTATATCTTGAAACACCTTTTGAAAGCACGACAGCAGAATCCTGCAGACCAAGAGCTGTGTTGGCAGGGCTACAACTGGAGGTAAGCATCTGAAGATTCAACAACTATTACGTGAACAGCTCAGGTAGCTAAAAAACATAATGCAGCTATTTTTTGGTACATAACTGTCATTCAAACATTAGTGGGATTTTCATCAGCACTGGCCATCACCCACTTCAAGGTACCTTAAATTCAAATATTATTCAACACTTATTTTCTAGTTCTTTAGTGTGGTATTAGTCCCAAGCTTGTATTTCTCAGTTGGCTAATGAAAGTTGAGTAACTGCTTCAAACGAGGTAGAGAAAGTTCCCATTGTCACCACCAGCAGTTCTATCTCTTTTGTGACCACAGGAGATTCACCACAGCTGCCGTTTTGGTAGTTAAAAATACAGTGAAAGCTTATATGTTTATTTTTATATCATGACCATGGTAGTGCAACCCAGATGCTAAAGGAGAGCGGTACAGAACTGTCAGCACAGTGAGTGAGTGTAATTTGAGCCCAATACATCTTATAAAGGAATTATTTGCCAAAGCAGTCTTGTTTCACTTATGTTGTTCCTTGTTATAAATAGTGAGACAGGCTAAAAAGCCAACTGTTTTAAATGACAGCGGAAGATGGCCACTATTATTGTCTTACCACTCAGCCAGATGATCTTGCATTAAGATATTCTCTTGATTAGTCTTGGTATTTCCGAAACAATTATTCCATAGCAGTTTACAAAACAAGTCACCCCGCCAAATGGAACATAGGATTTTGGGGTACAAGATATTGCCTCTCTTCAACTTCAAACGTGCCTGCAAATTTCAGTGAATGCTTCTTACCTGGAAGGGAACATAATCCCAGGAACTCGGAAGCATAGACAGGAGACAAAGACAACCTATCAGAAAATAAAAAATAAAGTAAAACGAAAAAAAACAGAGCAGAACATTTTGATTATTTGAATAGAGGTAACTCACTACAAGACATTCCTTTTCTGTGGGACCATGAGAAGAGTTGCCTAGCCATAATCTAAATTTAAGAATAAAATGGAAGCATTCCAGTGTTATTTCTACAACATCAGACAAGGGAATCACACATTTGCTAGTGTACTTCATCACATAGCCCTGCCCAAGAGGAGGAAAGTGTTGACAAATCCCCACAGGACTTGTCAGACAAAAATCTACCAAGAGACTGGGGCTAGCACGACAGACAGTGACTAGCAAACGCTTCCCAAAGCAGAGCTGGCCCCACATCCACTAATAGTTCACCAGCACCAACTTAATCCCTTCCCAGGGGCACCATCAGGCCAACCACAACCCTAGTCCTTGCTCTGGCAGGTCACCAGCGCCTGGCACGGGTTTCCTTCGGGAAAAAAACCCTCCCGTTTTGCAGGAGCGGGATTTAATGCAAATGCCCACGTAGTTTCTGAGGGAAATGACGCCCGCCCCGGGGCGCGTCTCACCAGGAGATGGGGAGCGGCCTCAGGTCCTCCTCAGCGGCCTCTTCGTCAGAGGAGTCGAAGTCGCCCGCTTGCATGGTGCAGGGCTGCGGCGGGAAAAGAGCGAGGAAATCACCCGCGGGCCGGAGCCCGCCCTGCCCCC